CAGAGCCTCGCCGGAGGGCTGGACCGCGGTCGTGGTGGAGCCGTTGGCGAAGCCGTATTGCATGCCAAAGACGAACCACTCCACCCACGGCAGGACGCGCGGCACGTGGTGCGCGAGATACAGGAGGTTGTGGTAGATGTAGTAGCCGAGGGCGCCATCGTAGTTGCGCACGGGGGGCGGGCGCACCGGCTCGTCCGTCTTGTTGGCCTCCCAGACGACGGCGCGCCGCGTGTAGGGGAACCACCAGACGCGAACAAACTCGGAGCGCGTCCAGAGGTCTGCGGTCCAGCGATCGAACATGCTGCGATCCGTGTCGATGACCTGCTGCCATCCGAGCGTAAAGGCAGGCACGGCACGGAAGGTGATTTCGGTGATGATGCCGAGGGCGCCGAGCGAGAGGAGCGCAGCGCGGAAGAGTGACGGATTGTCGTCCTTCGAACAGGACTCGGTGTTGCCGTTGGCGAGCGTGATGCGCAGGGCGAGAATGTCCTCGGACATGAGGCCATGCTCGACGCTGCTGCCGTGGGTGCCGGTGGAGATGGCCCCGGCAATGGACTGCTCGTTGATGCTGCCCAGGTTGGGCATGGCGAGACCATGCTTCTGCAAGTGCGCGCACAACGAGTACAGCCTGATGCCGCTCTGCATGACGACGACACCCGTCTCTTCATTGATGGAGAGAACCTTGTTGAAATTGTCGAGGTTCACGAGCCAGCTCGAGGTGCAGGTGATGTTGGAGGGCGAGTGGCCGCATCCCGTCAGAACGATGCGACGACGACATGTCCGCGCGAGGTCTATGACCTTTTCGACTTCCTCGAGGGATTCTGGCTGGATGTACAGCTCGGGCAGGGACGAGAAGGTCTTGGCCCAGGTGGAGTGGATGTGATTCGGTCGCGCGCGAAAAGCGACTTCGGGATCGCTCTTCGCGAGCGCTGCGGCCAGCTGGGAATCCATTGCGGTGCAGCTGTCGAGGGACAGTCTTCGCACAGATGGTGTCGCGGGATGATCGCGATTGGGAAACGACTTTCGTTCTGCAAGGATTCGCGGTGCGCCGACGGGGCGGGTTCGGATCGGCTGGAGGGGCACGGCAGGGGGAGGAGAGTCGATGCGCTGGGAACGAAAGAGAGAACGAGACTAGCAACGCGCCAAACGTGCAAGAGTGCAAAGACACGCCACTTCAGGTCATCGTCAGGATCTTGTCGAGCGGAGGGCAGGTTGAGTTCGAGAGGAGAGGCACGACCAAAAAAAAATAAGTCAGAGGGGAGGAGGGCATTGAGACACTACAAGCATGTTCACGTTGGCGGGGCTCAGAGCTGCTGCGGTCTTAAGACGCCGGCGGGGAGGAGAGATCGGGAGAATGCCTGCGCACGTGTACATGCGCATGTAATTTGTTCGAAAGATTTCCCTCAGATGCTGCACAATCCGATGAGTTAGTCGGAATGAGCTCATCGACTTCGGTATTTGACAGGCCTAGCGAGCTGTCGCAGGCAAAGCTTGGAGCGCCGATCGAGACCCTGATTGGCGATCTGGCAGAGTCAACGAGTCACCGCTTTGTCTGAGCTCCCGAAGCTTTCCGCCGATCGCGTTCAGATAAGGAGCAAGTCAGGGACCAGACACAAGACAGGGCCAGGGCCCGCTAGGCCCGGGGCGGCACAGAGGTGCATGTGTGTGAGGAACTCAAGCCACTCGTTGTCGGAACGGGTGAGACCATCATCAGACCACTTGGCCGGTTACGAAGAGGGGGGAAAGCGTGCAAGAGGAGGCAGACGCAAAAGAAAGAGAAATTCAAAACCAAACGATGTACATGTGCCCTCGGATTAGCTCTCAGGTTCTCACCGACAACCGCCAGCCTGTGACAACCGATTGGAAGCCCCAGCTGTGCTGTCATGCAAATTTGGCGTATTGGTCGTTTGGGGTCGTCATCAGGCAGTTTTGTGAAAGTTCATCGTACGGCTTGCGCAACCACTCGGTCGGCCGCAGCACAAACGTCTCGGAACACGCCGACCGCTCCGATTGAAAACTATTTTCGACCGTCATGAGCGCGAGCCTGGCTCTTCGCTGACAGACTGCTGGCTGCTGGTCAAACACCCCCGAGTCGACCTGCATCCAGCCTGTCATGTCGCTGGTGAGCAGTGCGCGCCTCTGGGAGTTGACGCTGTCGTCATGGCGGTCTTTTCCTGTGTCTTTGACTATTGTTGCTGCCCTACAGAGAAGCTGCGCTGCCCATACACACCCACGAGGGGGTGCCTGCTCCGATTTCCGTTCTTTGAATGCGGTCTTCACGTCATCCAGAGGGTTCCAGAGGAACCACAGCGGGAGAGGTTCCCTGATCGCTGTGAGGTTTTCGTCATGGCAGAGCGGCGTCGCGGGCCCAAGCAGGGGGAAGGGGGGTTAGGGGTTGAGGCGTGCGAAACAGACAGCATGCGGAGGTGGGGGAAAAAGGCCGTGACAGGCAAGGTTCCTACTGGTAAGTACTGATGAGGATGCTTCGGAGAAAACGTAGATTTGGCGGGCCGATGGACGCGGCCCAGGCATACGAGCGGTGCTGCCGAAGCGGTACGGTGAAGCACTTGCCACCATTGCCTTCGACTTGACAGATCCCTCGTCTGCTCGGGGACCAAGGCTCCTCAAACATGTGTCCTTGCTGTCTTCGGGTTTGAGCAATATTGGGATCCAGGGAAGCGATGCTAGACATTGCAGGAATGGACGTCTTCGGATTTTGCGGCGAGACGCGAAGCTGGAGAAGCAACTCGCAATCGATCGGTTGGGTCCTCGCCAGAGCCTTTCGAACACGTGCAAAAAGTAAGACGGATGGTTGACGTGGCTCGTCGAGGGAATTCAACCGCGGATGGAAGAGAATAGCGAGACCCTGTGCTCGTGGAAGTTGTAGAAAAGAGAATGCAAGTCAAACTGGAGACGCGTCCTGTCGCGACAATGGGGTTTGGGGAGCTCATGGCGCTTGGGCTGACTAAGGTGCTCGCTGGAACGGGTGCCTGGAGAAGCGGATCATCCACCGGCTCCGTGACTGCCCATCAAGACCTGTCCAGTCTGTCACCTTCGTAGTACGTATGAAGCAACTTTTTTAAACACCTACTACTAGATCACACTTGACTGTTCGGCTCACACTGCATACCTAGGCTCAAGAATTGGTCTTCCTCTGCCGCTCATGCTTCACCCACCAGGGCTTACATGCTCGTCACATGTGATCTCGCATCCCAGCACGGCAATATGCGTCCTGCCGTCACCGACTCTCGACGCCTACCATGTGTGTCGCCTTCGACCACATAAGTACAGGCTGGCAGTATGACCATGCACATGAGCGGGCGGCAGTCCGGCCGTTCGTGCTGGAAGGCCTCGATACATTTTCAGACAATATCCAAACGCAAGAAGAGCCGCCAAGCTACTTGACCTAAAGACCTGCGCCTCGTCCTCACAGCGCCTACACAAAATACGATGATGCCGGGCATTTTCCACCAGACATGTGTAGTTTCCGAGTCTTCTTCAGCTGTTCTGGAAGCACGCCATCAGGGTACCCTCGAGATTGTGGTCGACAAGCGCCCTGCCAGGACGGGGAAATCAAGCTCGCCAGGGTTTCTATTTCTGTCGCGGCGAGGCCCATGATAAGGTTCACTAAGAGCATTCGCCGCCACCCGCCAAGCAACCTGCTGTTCATCTGTTCAGCTTCCGTTTAGCCCCGCCTCACAAAGTCTAAGCAGTGGTCAAAATTAACACAGTCACCTGGTGCTACCCCGGGACTCTGGCGGCCCAAATGAAGCAACAAGGCACGCCGCTTCCTGTACCCGTCACGTGTGTACACCGTCTATCCGGGATGTCCCTACGACCTCCACCGACTCTCCATCTTGTTATGGCACGACAAAACATCTGTCAGCATGTTCTCTCATTCGCAGGGCACCGAGAGAAATCCACGCAGCGTCTGCCATCTGCACCTCCAGGCGACCTCACACAATTCGATCCATCTATCCTCTCGGACAGCTCAATCGACACCTGCAGGTACGGTGCCGCGTCACGACGCCAGTTGGCAGAAGTGGCGATATGACTGAGGCTCGGCATCCAAGCCATGCACCCGCCAACAGCTATGCGCAGCCCATTTGCCCAGGCCCTGCATTGTGATCCACGGCCCGTTATGCGTAGCGCCGTCGGCGTCGGCAGTCCGCCCGGTACCATGCCCACTGCCTAGGGATTCCCCAGAACTGCATCCGCAGTCGTGTCATGAAATTGAGCCATCAGCGCAATGTTATCTGTCTTTTTCAAAAGTAGTATACAGATGATCACAAGACGAATGAGATGAACCGCCACTAGGGATGCAAACATGTCACCCCTTTGTTCCGGGGTAGGGGTGGTCCCACGAAGTGAGGCCCACTGCCGGCCGGATCGACACGGCTGATTTACAACGGGCCAAGGTTTAACGTACTGCGCCGTCCACGTTGCTGTGGCTCAGGGGAATCGCCAAGTCGCTTCAGTCTTTTTGGCCGCGTTGAAACTTAGCATGCTGCGTAAGGCGCAAGGGCCAAGACGTAGAAAGCCCTCTCAAGAAGTCCATCGTGATGCCAGCCGCCGCCCCGATCTGCTGTGTGGCCAGCACCACCCATGTATAGCGGTCGTCGGTCTCAGCCATGCCATGATGCTGCGGACGGCGCATGGGAAGCCAATTTGACAGCTCGTGGCAAGCCGCAGGACACGGTGAAGATTCCGTTTCTCCTGCGAACTCAAGTGTGTGACGAGTTCGTCAGCCGAGTCTAGGTGCGTTTATATGATATCATGGTATTCCAACGTCTTGAAACCCGGTTTGGGGTATAAGCCGTGGCAAGCAACTTGCGGTGACATACGACTACTCAATATTGTTGAGTTTACTAGACATTGTCCTTCTCCTCGATTTCTTCGCCAGAGGAACCCCTGAATCTCTACGGTCTAGCACAATCTTCCATCCCCTCGAATCTTCTGCCGGACGACCTGCAACTCCTCATCACATCCCTTGCCCGAGCATGTGGTCTAGACAGATCCTTGTCCTGGTCACGGCCCTCGGCCTGGCCTCATCTTCTCTCTTTCAACGCAATGCCAACACAGACCTGTCCCTCAACCTGCCGCTCTCGGTAACGGATGCCTCTCCAGCCCAAACGATCTCGTCTGGAACCACACTTCGCATCCTCTGCGTGGGAGATTCTGTCACCGTGGGACACGGCAGCAAGGAACTGAACGGGTACAGAAGCGACCTCGCAGAACGCTTGTCCAGGAGTCAGCCAGAACCCACGCCAGTCCGAGTTTGCAGCGTGCTGACCAAGTGACCAGGTAACGAGGTCGAATTCGTCGGGACAGAAAACGGCGGAGCAATGCGCGATGGCTATTTTGTGAGACGAGAGAATTTTCCCGCGGCACGTCGACGAGTGTCCATCTGACCATTCATAGGCTGCGTGGAACGGCAAAACCATACACTTCCTTGCCGAGCACATCGGGCCGTCCCTCGAACAACGACCAAACCTCATCCTGCTGCATGCGGGCACAAACGACATGGCCTCTGTCGAGCGCATCGCAAAGGAGGGAAACGACCCCACGGCGGCGGCGGGGCGGCTCGGTGATCTTCTCGACCTCATGATCCGGGCCTGTCCCGATGCGGTCATCATCGTGGCAGTCATCCTCGGCTCGTGCCAGACGGACCGGGTCGCGAGGACCACGGAGTACCAAGCTCTCATCCCAGACGTCGTCAGGCGACGTCTTGATGCCGGGCACAAGGTCCTCGCCGCGGACTTTAGCGCTATGCCCCAGCGCTTCTTGCGTAATGACTGCATCCACCCGTCGATGGATGGGTACAGAGAGATGGGCAGGTATTGGTATGATTTCATAACGCAGGTTCCCGCGGCGTGGTGGTTGCCGGCTCCGAGTGCGGTTGACCCGAGTGCGGTTGACCCGAGTGCGGTTGACCCGGGACGCGACGAACAGAAGGTAGATGTGCAGTCGAGTGGTAGATCACTGAGGCCGACGGCGTGGTTTCTTCCGATTCTTGCATGGTTTATGCTTGGCTGAGTCAACGTGTTGAGGAATTGTATTTCGAAGCATCATGAAGCGACGCATCAGCATGGCGAGATTTTCAATTAGAATGACTGCGCCGTAACAACAGGGTGAATGGATGATATCTCTTAGGCGCCTCAAGTTGACAGATTATCTTTGGTTACCTGTGCTGTTCAAACCCCCGCGCCTCTTCTAATCTCGCCTCAATCTTGGCAATCACGGACTCATCGTACAGATCTTCGTGCTTGGAGTCTCCTCGCAGGATCATCTTCTCGTGCCTCGTCGCCTCGTCCTTTGTCATGCAGACCAAGTCGCCAAGGCGCACGTCGGAGCTCCTCTGTTCGTCGGCACCCTCTCCGATTCGTACCATCGTCTTACCCTCCGGCTTCCGCCACCTGATGAGGACGTTTCTCGTCGGGATGCCAGTCACAGCACTACGGCCCCTCCACAGCTCCTCGGCGAGGAATGCAATGTCACCGGGTGTAATGGGTGTCTTGAGACCCTTGGCCACCTCAGGGTCACTGGACCCCTCAGTCATGCGAGCAAGCTTCTCCTCCGTGCTCTGGATAAAGGCCAGTATGCTGTCGTACATCTTGTCACGGCCCTTGCCGGGGATGTAATCTGTCGGATAGCCTATCGAGTGTCAGTGTCCCGGATGGCCGAATTGTCTGGAGAGGTGGGAGATTGGGGGGCCGTACCAGTGATACTCAAGATGATGTGATTCGCAATAACATAGCCGAACACCGCAGGCATGGTTCCAAGCACAGGGAGGATGCGCACCCTGAAATTGGGGAGGACACCCAGATCGCCGACCTTGCCCTTCTGGAACTCCTCCTCAGCGAGGGGCAGGAGGCCGGCCTTACCCTCGCCAGTCTTCTCAGTCGAGAAGACAACGGGGATGCCGCTGGTGATGCCCTGCAACTTCAACCTCCGCCTCGTCGCCCTCGAAAGGCCGTCGTCCGTACTGGTGCCAATGTCGCCAACGACAATGCGCGTCGGGTCGCTCTTGGCACCGGCGCCCATGCTCGAGATGACGGGAATCTTGTGATCGTGACAGTACTTGAGCAGCGCAACCTTGGTGTCGATGTTGTCAATGGCGTCCACGATGAAATCGGGCTTTTGGCCGTCATCCCAAGGCGACAAGACATCATCCTCGACGCCAGCCTCAAACTTCTGCAGTCGCAGGTCGTACTTGACCCAGGGCGCAATGGCAATGAGTCGCCGGTACAGGCATTGCACCTTGGGCATGCCAACGTCGGCGAGCGTTGCCACGGCGTGGCGGTTCAGGGAGCTGAGCGTGACCTGGTCGAAGTCGATCAGACGGATCTTGGAAACACCGGACCTGGCCAGGGATGCTGTGCAGTGAGAGCCCACGCCACCGCATCCGACCACGATGACGAACGATTCCCGTAGCTTCTTGAGGCCCTCGTCCTGGAGAAAGACGCGATTGCGGGCGAGTTGCTCAAGGATGAGCTCGTCGTCAAAGTCACCGGCTTGGGCCCTCTTGGCGAGTGCCTCGTTGCGTGCATCCTCTTTATCAAGGGTCGAGGAAACACCACCGAATTGCGTGAGCTGGCCAATGTCAGTCGATGGGGGGCTTCATGGCTCAAAAACGGACGACGGCGCACCTTTTCTGGCGTATGTTCGCCATCCGCAATAGGCGGTATAGAATGCTTCAATTCATAAAGCCTCTCTTCCCTGTCCAATGCTTGATATCCAAAAATGAGGGCGCCCACTGTGAGGCCAGAGATGATTGCAGTTGCGGCGAACTGCAGGCGGGAGTCCGCCGCCGCTCGCTCGATCAAAGACGCCATTTTCAAGCGGCCATGACCGGAAAATCCTGTGTATGTTTCGTGATCAAGAGGATGAAACGTTGATGTAAAGTTTTGTACCTACGACAGATACAAGATTGCTATCGAGTTACCCTTGGATCCAGGAGCTCACGAAATCGACGGCTTCGAGTTTGCCCTTGGCTGGTTGCGATGAGTGTGGGCCAATCGGAGAGGCCAATGCCTGCGAGCGCGGAATTATCATCCGCCGACGGACCGACCACTCGAGTTCCCCAACTGCAGGCTCAGCAAGAGCCAGTCAGAATAGAGGCATCAGCGGTGACCACCATTGACAATCGACACGCAAGGAACCAGCAGGCTTTCGAGGGTACTGCCAGCCTCGATCAAGCTGCTCGTCCACATGCTTGCCTCGAACTATCATCGATCCACTGCAGCACGCTCGACATCAGCATGACGACCATACCATAACCGCATCCCACACATTGCTAGACATGCTTCCGACAACACGGCAGCGCTTGGCCACTCGCCGCCGCCTCCTCGAGCGACTTTTCCAGCTCCCCGCTCGCGAATTTACCAGCAACACAACGCTCGCGTCCCGTGTGCGACCGCAGCTTCCTTTCCTCTCGATACCAGTGACGACAACACGGCGCAAAGTCCGTTACTTTACCACCGAAAAGAAGCTATGGCTGAGGCATGAGGGCCGGCTCTTCCTCCGGTATAACATCTCCATCTGGGGCTCTCTCGTCTGCGTTGTCGCCATCGGATTCATGCTCAACCAAGAATGGTTGGAAAAAGACTTCCCCACGCCGCATGAGTGGTCGTTCCTGACGCGCATGGGCGTTCGGGGCGCGAAGAGTGCGCAGCGGGTTGCTGGGAATCGGGGCACAAATTATGACGAGATTATCGTGTCGTGTCAGAATGCTCTGAAGAGACTCGAGGACCCCCAGAGTGATGGCGCTGGTGTTCGGGAGCTTCTCGGTGATGAGCCCTTGTCCATTGATGGTTTGGGAAGTGTGGGCAAGGATATTTCGACCAAGGACGAAACCTGGAGGCGAGGCTACTACGAGGTCATGATGCTGCTGGCGACGACGCTCGAGCAGGTGGACGGCTGGGTCAAAGATCGCACTCGCAACATTGTCTGCCCCCCGGCTATGGTTGTCGGACCCTCGAACCCCCGGCCTCAGCCCATGCCTGTGGGAGCGCCCGGTGCCCCGAAAGAAGAAGACTGCGAGGTGGCCTACGAGTCTGCGGAGAATGCCTACCTTCGGATTCTGACGACCAAGGGCTTCAGCACCAAGCAGAGACTCGATGCAGCGCTTGCGTATGCTTCCTTCTTGGACTTCAAGAAGGTGCCGGAGGCTGCTGCAAGGGTGTACGACTGGGCACTCTCCATTGCCTTGGAGACTGTCGACCCATCTTCACCTCCTGTTATTGACCGTCGAACGTTGACCCTCAACGACAAGTCGACAGCCCCCTCAGAAAACGTCCTATCTGTTCTCACTGCGATGGCGACGCACAAGGCCCATGGCGGTGACGTCGCGGGAGCACTCCCAATCTTTGTATCTCTCCTCCGCGCCCGTCGCGCGTTGCCCACGACACCGCCAACCACAGCAAGGCAGAAGTCATTTGATTCATCGCCATCCAACTTCTGGCAAAAACTGTGGGCACTGGCACAACCACCACAGTACCCCCCGCCTCCGCCTGATGGAACGACCCCCCCATGGCGCGACAACAAGCAGCTTTGCGAGGAGGCGGCCCTTCACCTCTACATTGGCGAGATTCTTTACTCGAGCAACGATACACTGCGAACACGCGAGGAAGGTCTCACCTGGACACGCGACGGCGTGGACCTCGCGGAAGAACAGCTTCGCGAGCTGGGCCCCGACACGGCGGCGAACCGAGCGATGAAGACGACCTGCAGGGAGTGTTTGGGTACAGGGCTGCATAACTGGTCACTCATGGTCAAGCGGCTGGCAAAGGAGGAGAAGGCACAGCAGCAGGAGGCTGAGGGGAAAGCCACGGCGGCGGCAGGGTCTACATCCAAGCTTGGGCGCTTCTGGTCGAGTGCGCCAAACCCGAAGGAGGCAGGGACGCGCTGGGCAGCGGAAGAAAAGGTTGTGTACGAGCGTATTCGGAGGACAAACGAGCTGCTGGTAGATGTGGCGCCGCCGTCGGCTGGCTTGTCAGATCTGCTCCGGGCGTAGGCTGGACATGCACATGGGACGATATCCGAGTCGAGGGCGTAGGGGCACGATGCCGGGGTCGAGAAGATGCAACCAAGGGTTCTCTGGCACTGCCGTGACCACTTGGCCATGTAATACTACCTTACCTACCTTACTTGGGGCCATTTCCCACTTACTTGGGGCCATGTTCCCAGAATCCGGTCGTTGGGCAGCTAGGTGCTTTGTCCCTGTGACATCAGATAGACCCTCTTTCAGGCTTTGAACGGCATCCCTTGGATAGACCAGCGTCACCCTGTGGATCTGTACGGGTGCCCCCTTGTGGCCAGAACCCGCGACTCGGTGTTGCCGGTGGGGGAGAAGGAGGAAAAAAAAAGAAAAGCAGCAATGGAGACGAGGCTGGCAGGTGGCCTGTCAGCACCCAGGACATGGTCATTAGGGTTGTCAAGCACCTCAAACACGGGGCTGCACCCGAGTTGTCGATTACATCCACTTTGGTGACCGAAGTGCCGGGTGTGATGCTCCATAGTACTGTAGAGGGAGCAAGCACGGCCTGTCCATCCCTGGCAGCTGCCATCAGGATGGAAGGTCGCCCTTAGGAAGGAAGAAGCCGGACGCACGGACCGATGAAGATCAGCATCCCTCCCCCAGCCACAGCTTTTCTCTTCGGGGAAGCTGCATCATAGTGGAGTGCCTGCCCTTGCGTCCCCAGCTGAGCGAGAGGTCGTGTGCCCTATCTGGTCCTGGGGCGGTCCCCAGGGCGGTCGTCGCCTGTCAGCCCAAGGCAAGGCAAGTGCCTAGGTAGGCACCGCGTGGAAGGCGCATGCAGGCTGCAGCTTCCCCACTGAGGTGCTGCAAGAAGGTACGGCACGTATGCAGGCAGGAGCAAAGCAGCTCACCGTCTTGTTGCAGCCGCGCAGAAACTTTTCTTCGTAAAACTACACACACACACACACACACACGTGCGATACCTATGAAGCAGCCTCGAACAGCATTTTCTCGTGATCCCTCCATCCTTGACAATTGTGCTGTAAGTCCATCTCTTTCTTTCATCGCGCGCTACCCAACGTGCGTCTGGGCCTAGCACCTGCATTGGGGCACGGCATGGCCCTAGCTTCCGGGCCCCGGTCCGCTTTCCTCTAAGCCCAAACGACTCGAGAGAGAGGCTGGGGACGCAGTCGTCACAGCACACTCTCACTCACCCTGGCTTTCTCACCATCACCACCCAACCTTCCTCTCGTCTGCCCCCATGTTGTCCGTGTCCTTCTTTTTTTCTCGCCTCTGGGTCGTGGCAAGGGGTCGACCAGCCACTGGCAATTGGCGGCGCCGTTGACCAAAACGACTGAATTGCCCAAACATGGCGCTTTCTGTCTGCATCATGCATCATTCAATCCACATCTGCATTGGCGCGCATCTTTGTCTAGCATACACTACTACATCACCCTGTACCTCACCTCGTCTTCGGTCAGTGTGTTGAAAGGTCTTAGTGGGCTTCGCTCGACGCATCTTCACACACATCGAAGAATGAATTTCCAAGACCTGACATTCGACTTTATCGATCGACAGCGTATGTTGGGCTTCTCCAGTCATTCAGCGCCCTCCAATACGTGGTCGCCGACTTGATATACTGACGGGTCGCATAACAGGTCCCCAACCGCCTCAATTCTGGTCCCCCAAGACCCCTTCTGAGCAGTCAGAGGCCACCATTCGGCCGCATGGCGAGAGGTCACGCGGCGGCGATGACCTGACGAGCGACTCCGGTCACGTTTCTCTCTCACCTCAGGCTCCGGCCATCTTCCACGCCCCGTCACCGCCACGACACTCTGAATCCGACTCGACCATCACCGAGAGCTACGGTCCTAGCCGTCTGTTCGCACAGTTCGGAAACCCGCTACGTGACATTCGTCGGCACCCAGACGAACCACTGATCGACAATCGCCCGGATCCGCGTCCACCTCGACGAATCGACTCCGAGTCGACAGTCCACATCCAATCTCAAACGACAGTACGCTTCAACGAAGCACAGCTAGCCATGGACGAGGTCGCCAACCGCGCACGCGCCAAGGGCTTTCGCGATGACATGACCATTGCCGTCAATGGTTCAATCACGCCCGGCGTCGATGACGGACCATTTATCAACTATGCCCTTGGCGCCCTCACTCAAGAGTCATGGCCTAGGCACTCTGCCACGTCAGATGCCACAGCGACCACCCGAGGCGATGCCGGCGCCTCGTGGCAGAACGAGCTCACTCATGATTATGACGAATACTCTGATGATGATTACGCGGTACCTAAGAGGCGTTCAAGCAAGGCACGCAGTCTGGTGCCATCTCTCGCTCCTGTGCCTTCAGTTTACACGCGCAACTCCGTGCGCCACAGCGCGGTATCACAGTCGCAAGACGAGAACGAGGAGTTCGGCGTCACTCCCATAAGACTCGAAGCCTACAACACGACACGGCCTCTCTCACAGCCGAGGTCAACGACTTCTTCACGCTTCATTGGAGAGGACGAACCCAAACAGTTGGGCTCCAACCGTTGGATACCGATCAGTGAAGTCCACCCGACCCGACGGGAAGGCCTGCCCAAGCTTGATATTATCGATCCCCTGAGAATCAACTACCCCGAAATCACCTATGTCCCACGAATTTTACGACTACCCTCAATGATCACCATGATGGCATTATGCGTTATTATGATTGTCATGCTCGTCACGTCCGCCATTCTGACAACGATACGACCTGGCTTGATGACGTTGCACTACGGCGTTGACGATATCAACCACGGACAGTACTTTCTGTTCCGTGTACTGCCACAACTACTGGCCGCCGTCGTGTTCGTCTACGCACAATGCATCATGACAACCACGATTCGAATTCTGCCGTTCCAACGCATGACGAATGATGAATCTGAAAAGAGACGCGATGCACTCTTTGACGACCTCTACCTCACGAATTTCATGAAACCCCACTTGACAGGGCCACCTATGCTGAAGGTCTGTATGGCTACGATCTGGCTCAGCGCCTTGACGATACCTTTGTTGAGCAGCTGTTTTGCAGTGGCTCGTGTTGACGATCAATGGACCTGGTCGGCGGTGCAAGGCGTTGCGTATACAGCAGTCGTTCTGTACGTGCTACTCCTTGGAGCTGTTGCAACTTTGGCCATGTACTGGCACAAGAGGATCACGGGTCTCTTGTGGGATCCGCGGTCTATCGCCGACGTTGCGCACATGATGTACAAGTCGAACACTCTTGACGACTATGAGAGAACCGAGATGATCAGGGACAGGAAGGCGATGCAATCCATTCTTTGCAACCGCCGCGTCGACCGGCTGGGCTATTGGCAGATGGAAGGCCCCGACGTGACGCCGTGGTACGGTATCGGAATCGACACTCACATCTCTGACAGGAGAGGACGGAACGACGTGGAGGACATGCCACACGAGGATATTCGCCAACGCGAGTCTATGAACTCACTGACAATGTCCCTGGTTTCGGGGGTGGACGACAAGATTCGGAAACAATACCTACCCTGGTTCCTGCGAGACGGACAGATGATTGGCTTTGCTGTGATCAGCACGCTCCTTCTGGTGGCCCTGATCGTTGTCTCCTTCACGCAGGGAGCTAACTGGATGCGAGGCTTCCGCCCCGGTCACTTGTCTGTCTATCCCGCTGAGGGCAATTTTTCAGCGGCCAACTTCCTCTTCAGCTTCATTCCTAGTCTGCTTGGCGTGCTGCTGTACTTGTTCCTCCAGTCTCTGGACATGTCACTCCGCACTACGCAACCGTGGGCAGAGCTGAACAGCGCCTTGGGTTCGCCAGCCGGTCGATCCGTGCTCTTGGATTACGCCGCTTGCCACCCGTTTCAGGCCACCCTCCATGCTGCGAGAAACAAACATTGGCGCGTTGCCGCCGTCTCATTGATGAGCACGTTGGCCGTCTTCATTCCGATCCTTGCCGGCGGCCTGTTCATGGCCCGGAACATTGAGGGAATCAACGACAGCCGCATGCGGCCCAACAGGGCCGTGTTTTTCATCGTCTTGGCGCTGCTCATCCTGTACTGGTTTGCACTCATGGCGCTGGTGCCCTGTCGCTTCTCGCACCGCCTGCCTCATTCCGTCACCTGCCTTGCGGATATTGTCTCTTTCCTCTGCACCGAAGATGTGCGGGAAGAGAAGGGCTTCCAGTTTCCCGAAACCAAAGACAGAGAGACCATGCTCACCAAGCTGGGGCTTGGTAAGCGTTGGGAAGAGAGCCGGTGGTACTTTGGCAACGTGCCCGGCAAAGACGAGAAGCTGGGCGTGCGCCGGCTCAAGAAGTATACGGAGCGCAAGGCCAGAAGGCATTGAGCCTTTGAAGGCTGTGGGCCTTGTCCGACGCGTAATAGTGGTGCTGTGTGTCATTATACACTGGCGAGGGATCACTCCCTGAGGTTGGTACAGTGATGTTTTGCTTCTGGCGTTTTCGGCATGGAGAAACTGCATGGGTAGGCGTTTTGATTTTGCGCTTGATTTTAAGAGTTCTTTGCTTCTGCACTGTTCGCGTAACGGGAAAAATAGAGGGTTATGGTATGGGGTCATGTTTGTACGGCACGGGGCACGATGTTCATGGCGTTTCACGAGACATTTGGCACGAGATCCAAGACTGTATTGAAGGAAGAGGGGCTATCAGGCCGGGCTGAGAGTGAGCAGGACTGAGATGGATGAGATTGCCGCCTCGGAGAGCTTCCAGGCTGAGCAATGAGATGTACGGCTTATGTATACGTATGAAGATGTTGATGGGAATATGAAATGTTTCTGCGCCTTTTTAGATCTTGAGTTGGTACAATGCCTCGCCTCCTCTCCCCGCAAAACCCCGTCCACCATGTGTCGTATGATGTGGTCACACCAGAACTCCATGGCGAACTGTGAATAAGATCAAGATATGTGACAGGGCCAACCAAACATGTGTCACGGACGCGAGGCGCTCATCTTTCTTGAATATTTGATTACTCTCGTGCGTGAGGCACCATCGCCGCTAGCAAAGCAACGTATCTCAGAGCTACATCGAATCAACAAGCCATTACTCGTTCTGCGAACCAGGCACTCTCTGCTGACGACGACGACGACACTGACAACAACAACAAGAAGAAGAGGAAGAATAAGAGGAAGACAACATAGGAGACATAAATGACAGTATTGGCGGCTCGAAACGTTCATTGTGGTGGCCGATTACTTTCTCCTCCCCCCCCCCCCCCCCCCCTTCCCCAGCTTCACTCTCTCTTTCCCACTTACACGAGGCGAGCGGTCAACCCCTCGCGCCCCTCCTCCTCTCCTCTTTCTCGCATTGACCATTTTGACACTTCCGATGGCGCCGTGAAAAGAACGGAACACATGACCCCCAAACCATTTCCTTACCATTTGACTATTCGCCCAGACCTTGATCTTTTTCCCGTCTAACGGAGGCTTCGTTTCGTAGAGGCATAACTGATGATAGAGTTTCTCGATGAACAACGTGGTCGTGGTTTACATGACGTTGATGACATGATGCAGAGTAATAAACAGAACAAAGAAAACACAGGACAAAGAGAAGAAGAGACTGAAACCCAAGGCTTTGGTACGACATGAGAGAAGAAGAAACGGGAAACGACGCGGACGACGGAGTACATGTCACCCTTATGAACTGTGGCCCCGGGAGCCCCGGCCAAACATGCGGCCAAACACGTCGCGGGCGCGATGCTCCTCGGTGTCGTCGGCGGCACGCCAGGCCACTAGAGATTTGCGGCGTGGGCGGGGCGCGTCGCCGCTACGGCGCGGGCTGGCGGGCTTAAAAGTAGCAGCGCGGCGAGACTTGACGAGGCGTGCAATGGGAGGGCTATCATCTGACTCTGAGTCTGAGGAGTCAAAATCGAAGAACGAGGCTGATGGGGCGGCGGATGACGGTTCGCAGGGTGTCCGGCGGCAGGGAGGCAGAGGTGCGGAGCGAGGATGGACGAGATCGGCGAGGTTGGTGGAGGGGAAGTTGGGCAGCGTGGACTTGACTGTCGTTGGATCCGAGACGAGAGAACCGCCCATAGTGCGGGCGGAGGAGGTTGATGTGCGGGGAAGCATGGCGAACGAGGACGATGTGCGAAGGGCTGGAGATAGAGTACCGATTAGGGTGGCGCCGGATAGTAGGCGGATAGGCGCCGAGTGTGTGTGGATGGGTGATGGCCGCGAGGTCTTGCGAGGCTTAGGCGTGGGGGATTCAGCAGCAGGTAGGGAGGAGGTGCGCGGTGGTGGGACAACAAAAGAGGATGTCGCTGTCGTTGTTGCTGACGATGATTTGGTTGTTGTGGTGGTAGTCGTCGTCGTGGAGGTGTATGAGGCCTGATGAGGTCTGGGGAAGAGGCTGTAGGATGATTTAACAGCCCTGATCGTTGTGCGCTTCTCGGCGACGGACGTCACGTTGCGACCCTTCGGGAGGCTGGGAGGCTGCTGCGCCGGCAACGTGGGCTGCTTCACGATGGTGGTGTATTCAATGGGCTTAGGCGGCAGAGGGTCGTCATCGTAGTTGATAGTGCTTGCCTTCTTGGTGCGACGAATATGTGGTGACGGGATGAGGGCGGGATACCGGGCCTTTGGTACACCGTGACCTTTCCGCGGTGTCTTTGGTGGCTGGTCATGGTCGTGGTGGTGAGGATCTTCAAAGTCATGGGGTTGATCCCCAGCCACCCAAAAGCTGTCCCACAGCTGAGATGTCGAGGCGTGGTACTGATAGTCATCATCGGGTGACACTTCAGAGTCAGAGTGGTCATCAATCAGGCTGGGCGTTGAGCAGTTGGAGACCACGGACGACCTGCTCTGGTGACGGGAGAACGACCTGGAGGTCATCGTCGTTGACGGCCTAGCCTCCATCGCATCCATGTCTTCGTCCGTCTGTTCCGTGAAACTGTGCCCTGCCCTCCTGTATGGGTTGGGCTGCTGGCTTCCTTCCGCGCGCGGCAGCGAATAGTTCGAATAGTCAAAGTACTTTGACACGAGCTGGAGGTGTGCCAACTTGGTCTGTCGATCGATACTCTTCCTTTTCGTCCTGGTCCTCGATGGCGCTGCGGGTGCGGGTGCGTTCATCGTGAGAGTGAGAGTGAGATCGGTATGGGCAGGTGTGATGCCTGATTCCAGATGAGCAGACATGACGAAAGTGGAATCACAACCGCCGGGGCCTGCTCTACTTCAGGTGCGGATATGATGTCGATTTGCGTTACAAAGGTGTGTGTGTGAGCTCATCAGCAGTCTCAGGCGAGGGGGGGATGTGCGTGTCTGATCCAGGGATGGGATGCTCGCTATATGTCCAAAAGCAAGAGGTGTGGGCGATCATCCTCCATCAGTCTCCCTGATCCCTGGCCTAAACAAACATTGACCCGCTCAGCAACGGAGCCGATTGTGAGCAGACATGGCATGCCCTTCCCTGGGGGGGAAGTGTAAGGGCCGTCAACATCAGGAGAGACAGGTATGCATCGTCGTGTCTCGGTGCCGTTACGTTGGGTCTGGTACCCACACAAGCCCGCATGTCCACCTCCCAGCTGGTGGCTGAACCCACAGGCGCGGAGGATCGCCGTGGGTACCGTCTTCCCTGAACTCAGGATGGCCACAGCTTCGAGACATTCCTTGCCTTCTGCGCTAGCCCCGATCCTCGCCCTGGGAGCAGGGTGAACAGCCAGTCGGAGGCCAGCCCTGAACAAGGGAGAGCAACGTTTGGAAAGGTCTGCGGGGATCCATGACTGCACTGGCTGGCAAGCAGGACAGTCACCAGGAGGGCAGTGGGGAGTGGCCTGTAGGCAAAGCATCACCAGGTAAGGTGAGCTGAGATGGAAGTGCTGGAATGTTGAACGTGACCGGCCATGGAAAGTCTCCCCTCAGAGGCACGTCCAGCAAAACCTCTGGCAACGGGGTTTGCTCTGGGATGGGCGCCGGGGGTTTTCTTCCCCTGGCCACCCAAGACCTGTCAGATCAGGCCGTCGGATCAACGATCCTGTGCCGCTCTGCAGGAGTCGTCCCGATTGACAAGCTCTATGAGACATGGATGAAAAGATGAGCACAGGCACAACCACGGAACGAATCATGGTTCAGCAGGAGGGGCAAGAAAAAGGCGACGAAGAAGAAAAGCAACACCAATACGGCGTCGAGAGGGGGCAACAATAGCTGCCCGCAGGAGAAACAGCAGGGCAGATCCCAAGGCACCGAGTCTGTCCCAATCGCGGGACGACTGCACTTGCATCCGCCGTGGTTCGTTCCGAGGACCCTGTTCCTGCGTGTCCGAGGTGGGCACATACTGCCAAACTAATGCCAGGGGTGCAGTATGCAGCCTCTACCGCAGCAGGGAGGCTGCAAAATAGGAGCACTAAAATAAAAGGATGAGAAAAATGTGCTTGGCCCAGCGGTGTCTCACTTCCATGGTCAGTGTCGACGTACTCGAGAGGTTTCCAGGGCCTCTCTGGGGCTCACAACGCCACAGCATGCCCGCCGTTGCACCTTACTCCTGTCGACCATGGTTACACAGGAAACGTTGACCATCGTTGAGTCAGGACGAGAATGGACGATGCCACGCTAACTCGCCCCCTCCAATGCTACAAAGCTGGCCAGTCCAGGGTTCCAGGTCACGAGCAGCAGCTGCATAGCCAGCGCCGTGGCGCTACCGAGGACCCTTGACTCCAGCTCGGCTTGGATTTGTGCGCATCCAGACCGTTCTCAAGCGCCAGACGCTTACTTCCGCCGTGTTGAGACGAAGCAGTGTTGACAACTGACAGCATAGATGAGAATCAGCCTGGACAGGAGAGGAACGAGAATGGGGGAGGGCTCTGAGCCGTTGCTGAGGTGGCCTGAGGTTGGGAGCGCGGGCCTCTGCCCCCAGCTCCCTGTCTCGCCGGTGTGCCTCCGAGTGCAACCGAGACAGGCAGGCCAACCTCTGCACCGTCTTGTCTGCCCACTTGGACGAGCACGTTCACTATACGGGGACCTGTTCGGCGTGGGACCAACGGTGGGGAAGAAAGGTAGAGAGCGAGGACGGGCTCGTGGTCCGCGGTCGGTGGCCTGTGGGTTGTGGGTTGTGGTCGGTGGCCTGTGGTCCCCGCGAGGAACGATGATGGAGGTGGCTTTCCATGCCCGCGCGCCACCCGTACCTGTCAGGGCCTTTTTGGCGTTCAATGGTCGATGACGACGGTGCATGCCTTGGCTCACCGCGCTGGCATGAGATTATCGACCGGTCTTTTCCCAGAGCAAGCCTGCTGGTGGTTGTGTGTGTGATGGTGCGCGATGGCGGCGATGATGGTGGATGGGTTGGCTGATGATCGTCAGGAACCGAGATGTTCTGCAGTGCTCTCGGAGGGACCGATCGCAGCGGTCAACCAGCATGGCGCTGTTTCTCAGGTAACGGATTTGTCCAAATGGCGACCGGTCGTCGATGGCATTGTCGTTGGCAGAAGCAAGGCGACGATCGACTTGGATGATGGGAAAGGCAAGGAGGAGGCATCCGCCCCTCCACCATGCGCCCCTGCCTGCACCAGGAAGCAAGCAGCCTTGCTTGCCCTGCGCCTGCGGCTTGTGAGCGCTTTCCTTCTCCCTTTGTTTCGCCACATGCGAGGCAGGATGAGGTAAGCTGCCGCGCCACGTTTCCCCTTACCCTTCGTCCCTTGTCCCCTGGGCCTTTTCCCCTGGGCCTTTTCCCCTGGGCCTTTTCCCCTGGGCAACGAGGTCCCTGCGTTATGCACCACAACACCCTTGTCTTCATCCCTTGCATCCTGAAGCTCACCACCATAACGCTACGATATCATGTCGACGGCGTCCTGATGGCGTCGTTCAGATCTCGATCTCCATGGATAGGGGGAAGCCTCTTCGATCTGCCGTTTGCCGTTTAATCGCTCAAAGCGTAGCCCATCGCCTTGCCCGCATCTAACGTCCCATCAACCGAGGCGCCCCCCTCAAGCGCGCCATGCCAGCAAGACCTTCGACGGGCAGACCGTGGAATCTGAACTTCAGCCCATCTCTGCCCTCGGCACACCTCTGTCCTGCGTAGCGCAATCGCTCGCCTCTCGACGCGTTTCGATCACCTGGCTTCCTGTCGACCACGTCTGCCCCTCAGGTCGAGCTGGCCGGCTACTTCTCGTCTATCCGTCCATCTGTCCCATGCAACCGACCCGGGACCCATCATCGGGTGCTCCGACGCTGGCGCTGGCTTTCCGGACTGGCGGGCTGCGCTTGGGTGATCCACACCAACATTCGTTGTCCACGCCATCTTATCACATATCATATATATTTCTCCCTTTTTGGCCACCACGGGTACCACCCACACAGCGAACAGACCCAGACCGGCCCAAAGAGCCACTTGAACTCTGGCTGACCGCTACCATTTCTGCGCTGTACGGTTCGAGACCTGAGGTGACGGGAGGCTGATGCTGCAGGGTCGTGTCGGGAGCCGAGGTTTTCCGTCTCTAGTGGTAACGAGTGCAGAGCGTCATGCAGAGGTCTGGCTCATGCAGCGGCGGCGGCGGCGGCGGCGATGAAGTGGTCAAAGAGGGCCATTGACTAAGGTAGGCATCGGATGGAATTGTTGGGCGCCGTGTCGTTCTGACTCGACCACAAAGCCCCCCCCCCCTCTCACCTTTATCTTGAGAATGCAGGCTGCCTTAGCCAGTCTGGGCATCTTCAAAAGTCGGGAGATCCGAAAAGTCGCGGACGCGTCGCTTACCATGAGGTCCGAAGCTACTCCAACATCAACGGGAATGCCCACAGTGGGCACCCTGCCATCGGTGTGCGTCCAGGAAGCTTAACCAGCGGGAGCCTCTTCAGGGTTCATTCAGACGAGTTGTATCGCCAGTGGGGCCTTGGCGAGGCGGAACGGCCATGTGATGTGAAGAACTGGATGTTCCATGGTTCCATGGCTCGGTAAACAAAGTAAGCGTAAGAGGGGTGGACTATGGGAACTTTCCAACCAGCAGCACGTTGATAGACAGTGCGCTGCTTGGGTAAAGAGACGATATGGACTGGTGAGCGAAAGCATATTGTTTGAGGCTCATGCAGTGGGACATTTAAAGCCCGACTTTGCTGCACACTGCCTGTGCATCAGTTGAGCGGTCAATCTGTGGTCAGCTGTTCATGCATTGAAAAGCTTAAGCGTGAGCGAGAAGTTGCTCACATCGTACAGAGAGGTCCGCCTTTCTACACCACTTTCACTGTCTGAAGAACCCAATATTCGCTCTGATTTGCACTCACCGATGGTCAAGTAAACTAGCATTTTGTGTGCCGAAGTATAATTTAGCTCGCTTCAAGTAAATAAACATGTCCTTAACTGGCTGTTGTTTATTGTGATGCGGATCGACTGGCCTTTAATGGGATTGTCTTTTCGATGCTATCTCGTCAGTATATTCATCGTGTTGAGAGGGCTTCGCTGCTAATTTGAACCCTGATTCATTGCTTTGACTGTGCCTGAGAGCTCTGAATACATAGGGTAGGTGATATAAGTCTTGTGATGTGA